TTTTAACTACTTACTCATATTAATGCAGAATCACTAGAGCCTATATAAGTCAAACAACAATAGATAATTGTCCTTTTAACTCTCTCTCCCTGCCTCACTCACTCATTCTTGCATTTTTGTCAATTCGAGCAACATCAATGAGAGGGGCATCTTGTGGAATTCAGAAATTGGAGACCCATTCAGCCGTCAAATAGGAAGAGTATATATATTAGTAAGTCTGAAGGTCAAAATCACATGCGAAAACAAATAAAAGAGACCACGATGTGTCACAAGGAGATAAAATGGACCACTAGACAAAATTAAGAAAAGCCTGCCACAGCATCTTCCTTCATCTTGCATAATTTCTCAAGGATAATATGCAAACAAAATTCGTTGAATTTTCTAAACAATAATATTATTCGTATCTAATTTGAAGATTTTTCATACAATTACTACCGGATTGATAGTAAACTTCATTCAATGATAAAACTCAAGATTAATGAATACAATACAATAAATTTCAACTATATTGCTCTACTCTAAAAGGTCTAGATACCTCTTACTCAGAGAAAAAATAACTTTTATTTGTTATATATAATGCTAAGGGGTGAGGAATTCAATATTTTCATACATTCATACATTCTCGTTCAAAGTATACTAATACTTTCTATGACATCCAAATCTCATGCTACAAAAATAATTTTTTTGAGATCACATATATCTCCTAACTATCTCCAATATGAGTACACCCATTTCCCTACAACTTTTATATAAGACTTAATTTCTAAACTCTGATACCAACTTGTCACGCCTCAAATCTCACAAAAGCGTAATTAAAAAAAATATTTTGTTTATTCCAAAAACACATACCAGTTTGTTGTAAAAATATTTAGAAAAATATGTCTTTAGTTTAAGCAAATAGTTTTTTTTAAAAAAAATTGACAGAGTTTCCTTTGAAAATCAGACATCTAGATAATTTGTGAGAGCTAGCTATGAGAGCATTAAACATAATTATTATACCCGACTAGTCATTCACATCATATCAACTATAAACAACTCTTCTGATAACATCCACAAATAAATCATTACTGTTCAAAATCAGGGTAACAAATGGAGGCACACACAGTTCCCTCAAACCCCGGTTATAATCTAATTATTTAAAATTCTTTGTCATGAACATAATATACAAACTATCTAAAATCTTTATAAGTAAACCATTAAAAAAGTCTCAATCTATACATATTCCCTCAAATTAACCAAGATATAATTCACTTACAAATTCTCAATAATATACATCATCGTATATTGTTCTTTACATACTTTAACTAATATATAAAACCATAATAACTATCTTCTGCCTCGATACTCCCACTATGCAGTCCACCAACACATGTCCATAACTGAAAATATTAAATGATAGAAGTAAACAACCACACGCTCAATAAGATAAACATTTTCTCAAGCATATACAAAATTTTAAATACCAACAGTTTACAAGCATAAGGATATGTAATGAAATAATTTATCAATAAATCTAGGTATACGATAAGTAGCAAGCATTTTTGAAAGTACATTACGTACTATTATTTGAAATACATAAGTGAAATATCAAGGAATTTGCTACATCAAAATCAAATCTCAAGGTAACCCTATAAAACCTTTTCCTTAAAACATAATGCAACACCATTGATTTTATAAAGTACGAAGTGAGAAATCTTTATACAAATATATGTATAATAAATCTAGTAAATTAATAATTTCTTATTTTGAACACAATTTCATAAATTTATTCTTTCTAAGGTATTTTTTAAAAATATTAACTCCACGCACTTTTGCCTCAACCTCACCTTACCTCACCTCACTCAAGAGATTTGTTGGAATATTGGCTATTGGTTTATTGGCATCCCAAAATTCATGTATGCTACCCATAAGGACAGATATCATCAAACAAATACCGGTTCACGAATGAACAATTCCAAATAAATCTTTTAGGTCTTGCACCTTAGGATCTCATCGCCCGTCTTGTTTTTTAGGGGAGATACATAGGGTACAATTTGTGATATCACATAGGCCATCACCGAAAATCACTACCATAATCAATCTCTCTTATGACTAATAGCTGCCTTGGCAACCCACTCAATAGGCCTCAATCGTCTACTAACCCTCTTCCTGTCAGTATCGAGCATACATTTTTTAAAAATCATTATTTTCTATATCCATAAATCATTTTGAAAACACAAGTCACAACCTTCACATTTTATCAAATATATAGTAGGCTCAAATATCAAAATTTATATTTTCAAAATAACATAACCATTTCCAAGAGAATAAATCATATATATTATGTACAAAATCATAGCATACTTCAAAACCCTCAAATTTTTAGTTTAATCAAATACTTATAACTAACATCAAAAGACTTGAAAAATTTTTAAAAAGCAAAAATTAATTTTCCACAATTAAAGCGCAAAAGTCTACTCTCTTTCTCTTCAAGTAAAAAAATTTCATATAGCATAATTATGTATCTCTCTTGTAACCTAGATTAAATTGAAAAGGTACATATTTGTTTGATCAGTAATTTAATTTTTTAATATTTTTATTGATATGATTAATTTAATACAATTATTCTTTTTTATTATGAAAGTTTGGGAGGCGAACAAATCATCAATTCAAATCTTATACAATTTTTATTTATCAGGTGATATTGTGTTTAATTCTTATTGACTTTTATAAGATATTAGATTGTTCTCTTAGTATAATTATTTGTTATTTTAAAATATTCATAAGAATTTTTAGTTTGAAATATGTCAAGTTTTTTTAAAATTAAAACTCATATAATTATACTTATGATCAACTATAGTATAAGAAAGATTGAATGGATTAGTCATATTATCCGTTGAAAAAATATACTAGCAGAATTCAAATATAAAAATGTGATTACTAATTTTGCATCACAAAAAATGAAAAAAAATAAAATTTTAATCATACAATATATATTTTTTTTATAAATTTTAATAGACCCCCATATAACTCCTTCGCTTAGGGCCCGAGTTTTTATTGTGTTGGCCCTAGTGATCGCCATCAACATCACAACCATCATTGTTGTCGTCGTCAACAACACCACTGAACCCCTCGGTTCTCATCACCCTTGATGGTGGGAGAAAAATCGTAAATATCCCAACCTACAATGGTGCCTTGCACAATTGACGCTATCTAGCCAAACTATACTTGCCTCATTAAATTTTTTGTTACATAACCAATTAACGACCTTAATTTCCTTTTATTATGAGATTGTAACTATAACTATTACTTGAATGAATACAATTTCATAAAAAAAGAAGTCGAAAAAATTGTGCAAGCAGATTAAATTATCCACTTTGCCCCTAATTTTTTGTTGGAGCAAGATATTCTTGTTTTACATTGAGAGAATTTGTTACCAACAACCAAAGTCTTGTTATGATTTAGGATTTAGCGAGGATATGCATCTTTGGGAAATTACATTCATTTTCCTTGAAGTTCTTTGTGAATCCATCTGACTTTCGTTCTTCTATTTCTTTGTTCTGAATTGTTCTTTGAATTCTTCAATCTTTTTTTCAATTTCATATATTTATTCATTCAATTCACAATCACAAACCATAAGAACTTCTATTGGAATCCAATATTACATATACATGTCTTTGTTTCATAACATAAACCAACTATTGATTCACCTTAGGTTTAAACCGATTCGAGAATCATTCGTCGAAACATCCACAAGAGTTGATGAAGAATGGTAACTTGGTATGGGTCCTATGCCCTACCCGGCCAGCGCAGTCCATTACATGAAATTCAGGGTATATGCAATATTTTTGGCCCGTGGCTTGTGCATGGCCAGACAAAAAATTGCCTGATACTATTTGGGGCCCCAAGAAGTCCAAGGAGATGTGGGACTTGGGTATTGGCCCATGAATGGAAACGGGCAAACAAAATGGTCCAATACTATTTTAGGCCCAAACATTCACTCGTGGGCTGGAATCATTATTTTGAATATAAATATTTAAAACTTATTTGCCCAAAAGTATATAACCACGGACACATTACAAATTGCCATATTTTCAGTGCCTTCCCTAGGCATCGACCACTAAGGCAGCTGCCTACGAACCCTATATATTTTATTCCCTTTAGTATATTAGACCTTTTTTTTTGTTTTTTTGAGTTTTAGGTAAGATCTAAATTTTTAGAGCCCCAAATTTTAAGATAATTTACAAAAATATTGTCTTAAGCTTAAAACTTCAACACTTTAATCACTATCAAAAAATTGTAAAATTATATTCACTGATTCATACACAGTCTAAATAATATGTATTACATAATGTAACAACTATACATGTAATTTTTAATGAATGATTAAAGTTATACATCATAATGTAACAATACAAAGTGACTTTCAGATAATTAATGGAGAGATTTTAATTTAAAATTTACAGTTAATAGAGAGGAAGAGAATTTTAAATGGGATCAATTATATACGACCGTAAGAAAAATATATTGTAGATGTGTGAGAGAAATTTTAGGATAAGGAAAGTAAAAGTACGAGAGAGAGAGAGATTTTAAGAAAGGGAAAAAAGATATTTAAAATTTAAATTTATTGTCCCATTAAAATACAAAATTTCTAATTCATTTTTTGGAGGATTGTGGTTTGTGTTTGATTGAAAATGAATAAAATTTGAAAAAGATTTGTTCAAATTTTAAAAAATTGAGTTTTGAAGCCTGGATTAATGGTCGGATTCTATAAAGAGAGCGAATAGAATCTGACAATTTTCAATGACAAGAGAAAACGAGTGTTCAGTTATCTCTACGAGTGTTTTTAGAAAAAACAAGAGAACTCCTCAAAATATTTTTACCCAAAGACTTCTTTAAAATACCCCTTAAATCATATTGGTTTTCATCTTACTGGGTCAAAAGTCATATAGAATTTGAAAGGGAAAGGGAAAGGGAAAGGGAAGCAGGAAGGAAAGAACTCTGGCGGGTGTCTCTCTCTCTCTCTCTCTCTCTCTCTCTCTCTCATAAAGTGTCTACCACGAACCCTATCAGCCTAAATCAATTCCTAGTTGCTCCATTCAATTTCTCCACCTCGGAAATTGTAGAAATCGCGATTCCGATACAGAGGTATCAATTCGAAGCCCTTCTTTTTGTTTACAGGTATCAGCTTATTAGCTCCATTCAACATAGATTTATACTGATTTTATTCTAGGGCTTGAAATTGGTGCTTTTCTGTTTTGGGTATCTTTAATTGATTTAGGTTTTATTATGCAAAAACCCTTCATTTTATTTACAGGTATCAACTTATTAGCTCCATTCAACATAGATTTATACTGATTTTATTCTAGGGCTTGAAATTGTTGCTCTTCTGTTTTTGGGTATAATTAATTGATTTGGGTTTTATTATGCCTCTCCATACTGGAGTATACATGTTATCTAGAGCTTTTAATTTTGAGTTTATTTTTTTTTTGTTTGTATCGTGCTTTCATGTGTATAAGACCTTTTGTTTTGAGGTAATAATAAATAGGTTATGGGCAAGACATATTTCTAGATGTGGTATAAGTTTAATCTTGGTCTATCTATTGTATCAAGAACATCTTTTTTGTTTTTCTTGCTTTTAAGTACTCAGTTTGGAGCCATTAGCGCTTTAATTGTAGTTTTGAAATTGATTGAGCATTAGTGAATCCGGTAAAATATCCATCAGCTGTTGTGATGTTTAGTTTTTCTTTTGCTGCATCTGCTGGATAAACTAATGAAGTTCTGTTAGATGGTATGATTTATGGGCATAGGTATGATGCAATGTTTCGATATGTATATGGGCTGCACATGAATTCTCAAAAAGTTCTGGACACCAAACAAACCCTATTTATTCATTAGAGGAACTGTAGAGTGTAAACATTGACGATAGTTGTAAGTATGAACTAGGTTTCTTTTTGAAGTGGCAAAGTGTCTTCCGTTTCTGCATGTTTGCAGGGTCAGTATAAGGAACCATTCCTAAGTATCTAAACAAAATTCAGTTAAACAGGGTTGAGTGATATGGGCTTTTATCTGAAAAGTTTTCTTCATAGGGACATCTCTGTTCAATTCTTAACTCTTCTTTTCAATAACCATGCATGTAGATCATGGTTTTGGTGATATCAGAAAAGAAAAAAAAAATGTAGTCAGTTAAAAGAGTATCATGAAAGAATCGGCCAGCTTTCAAGGAGCACACAGGGATGAGCTTTACTTTTTGACATGATTTGGATGCATATTACCTCACCTTTTTTATCCCATGTGGGTTTATGTCTCAAGAATGTTCTGTCACACTCTTCTCTGAAGTTTTTTCTGCACCTGGCATCTTACTTCACTGGATCTAGCAGCAATTCGATCTGCGTACAGTGTATGACCCTGAGGTGGCCTGGAGGTATTAGGAAGCCAACGTGGGATTTCTAACATAGGAATCTCTTGGAGGATTTGCACCAAAATTTTTATGAGTTGTATCTGTTGTCTATCACTTGAATATTGGAAGAATAGCTACATCTGTCATATTATTCTTTGTTGGCAGCAATTTAACTGCTGTGAGTACCGAACTCTGCGGTCATCAATAAGCATCTTCTTGTCAACTTTCAGGCATTTCTCATTGGCTCTATTTACTGTTGCTTTCTTCTGTTTGTGATCTTATATTCTGCTTATTTTTCAGTCTTGCCTATAGACCTGTCATCAAACCTTTAAGCAATGCAAGACCAGAGGATGCAGCTGCCAGATGAAGCTTCAGTTCCTAAACCACGAAAAAAGAAACCCTCAACCCAAACGGCTTCCAAGTTTCAAACACAAGGGGACAAGGTGAAAAGGGTTCAAGAAATTCAGCAGCCCCCGACAATTCAGAAGCGTCAGAAGAAGGCCACCAAAAGAGGCTTGATGAATCAAGTTCCCCAATTCCAACAACCAGAAAAATCGACCTCGGATTCATTGCCGGACTCATCTACAACTGGAAATGAATATCGGGCACTGAGACGGAGGTATTTGCTGCTAGAGGAAGAAAGTTGTGTAGTGGGGGGAGAGATGACAGAGGTTGAAGCCGAGATTAGGACTCTTGAAGGGGAGAAGCTTTCACTCTTGGACAAGCTTGTTGTGTTGGAAGGCCTGGTTGACCCTTCAGAATTTGAGCCCCAAAGGCCACAGTTAACATAAGTCCCAAATTATTGTTGTCTGAATGATATGGTTAAATGGTTGAAGTACTCCATTACATTTTCTACCACTAGTTGGGTGCAAGTAAGTAAAACCATTGCAACTTTTCATGTCGTGTTGGGTGCATGTGTTTTCAGAAGTCGAACGAATTTACAATATTTCAGCCTGTAAAATCAGTACATCAAAAGTGTAATTATTTACATTAGAAAATGATTGCTACAATGTACTCGTGTTACAAACGAAAACATTTCAAAGCTTGGGCCGCAGAATTGTAGTAACATCACCCTAAAAACTGGTAATTCCTTTCCAAAAAGTGATAATTTCACCTTAAAATGTTATAATTGTACCCAAAAGTTGATAACATCACTCCAAAATGTGGTAATTTTGTCCCAAAGGTGGAATTACGGCCCCATAAAATGTAATTTCACCTCAAAAGTGATAAACACTCCCCAAAACAAATTGATCGTTTCCAAACATTATGGATTGATCCCAGGTAACAACAAATAGATGGACCACAAATACATATGTGTTTGCACTATTTGATTGATCTTAAATATTTTGGTATCGATCCCAAAGTTCTGATCTATCAAACAGTGAGGCTTTTTTTTTGTTTGGGATCGGAATTAGGATGGTTTGATCTATCAAATAATAAGATTTTTTTTTTATATGTTTGAGATTGATTTTTAGACATTTGGGATCGATTTCAGATGTTTGGGATCTATTAAACAATGTATGTAGAAGGGTTACACATTTTAGTGTTATGTTTACCACATTTTGGATATGCTTACCATTTTTTTGGTGAAGTTATTATTTTTTGGGATCATGCTGCTGCCTTCTTTCGAGTGTAGTTATTACTTTTTAATGTGAATTTATCAGTTTTTGAGGAGGTGTTAATGCTAGTACCATTTTTTCTGGATGAAGTTGTCACTTTTTTTAGTGATATTACCAACTTTTCGGACACCCTATCACTTTTGGGGAATAAAGTTACACATTTATAAGAACCATCCTACTTTTCGGTATCACTGAAAATGTGGATCCATAGTGCTACCAAATAATTTTATAAAATTGTTTTTGGTTCTCAAAATTCTAAAAACAATGAAAAGTTGTTTGAATTGATTTTTTCTTCTCCAATTTTTTTTTAAAAAAGAGGGAAGTAGAGCCTAAAAATTGAAAATAAGTTTAGCTTGTTTTCGGCTGTTTTGGAGACAACAGAAAGAAAAAAAAAACAAGGAGAATACATTTGCTCATTAACGAGATGTTCCCTTGAATCTCCTTAACAACAAATAAGATCCTCTTATAAAATATGTGTTTTTCTGCCTTTTTCCCTTTCTCTCTTTTCGAATTTCTCTGTCTACTTCAGCAAAAATCGGACGAAAGAAATGAGAACACACGCACATTTTTTCTTCCCCAGTGATTGGAGATCGTCTTCTCCGACGACTAAAAGCTCTCCAACAACTGGGTTGTTTCAAATCAGATCTCCGACAATTTGGTTGCTTCAGATCAGATCTAGACCAATTTTTTTTACAAATTTAATGTATTTGGGTTAGATCCAAACATTTTTTCACTTTTTTTTTCTTTGTTAATGATTTGGGTATATTAGATTTGTGTGTGAATTTTGATTTAGGTATGTTGAATCCACTGTAATGGTGTATGCTAAGGCGAAAATTTCCTTTTTTTGTTCTTTCATCTTTGTCTCGTCTTCTCCGGCGACTGTGCATGTGTGCCGTGTGAGTGTGTGGGTGTATTTGCTGTATGAGTTGTGTGGGAGGAGATTGAGATGAGACAATGGGGAGGGAGAGAGATGGGAATAGAGATGAAATTTGGGGGGCTTTGTAGATTATTATTCAAACAGGTTTTACAATTTTTTTATTTTTAAAACTATTTTCAAAAACATATAACCCATAAATTTTGTAATATAAAAATATACTTTCTTAAAATTTTTAACAAAAATTATTCTTGAATACTATTTTTAACTAAACATGCCCCCATTTTCTGAAGGAGTGAACGATTACCCTAGAGGCACTAATTGCAGAGAGAGGAACACACTTCAACACATCAAAAACTCATAGTTTGGACATTTTAGGAGGAGTACTCCTTAACGTAGTTTAGGTTAAGAATTAGTGTTACAATTAAGGTCGATTCATCAGTTATTTGTAACCGAAGTTTCCATTAAGATTAATAAAAGTGTTCTTCTTTTTATTAATCTTTATTGTGTAATCACCTAAAAGCATTTGTTAAAAGATTACACCAACCGAATTTTTTTTTGTTTTTTAATTCCACAATAAAAAGTGTCTAATTCAATTTATACGCATTTCGATTATTGTCCTTCATAGTCTCATTAAAGATAAATCAACCACATCAAAATTAGAGTATTCATTATGGACAAATCGCTTATAACCTAATTAAGGGTGTTCAAAATTTTGATTGGTCACAATTTTATACCCTATCCGACTCTACCCTACCCTACTAAACGGCTAACAATAAAAATCGGGTAGAAATACGGAAGAGTTTTTGGTCTTTCGATTAAATCGAGTAGGGATGCGGAATACGCATCAATTTCTGCATTCCTATCCTACCCTACCTGTAAAAAATATATTTAATTTTTTTATATTATTTTTTAATAATTATAAGAGTATTTGTGTAGTATAATTTATATTATAACATTGTTATTGTTGTAGATGTTTGAGTTGCGAAAATATAAACTTGTTTTTTATATATGTTACATGATTTGTAGTGAAGTGTTGATTTATTGGAGCAATTATGATTTTAATGTGTTTCATATAGTTTAAATTTAAAATAATTGTTATTATATTTGTGTAACAATTATGATGGATTGATGTTAATATTTTCTTATGTTTTATTGTAATTGTTGTTGCAGTTGTTTTAGATTTTAGTATTATTGATTTATTATATTGTTAAATTGGTGCATGTTATTTAATTAAATTGTTAAAATGATTTAAAAATTAATAGTTACAAAAGTGTTTATCCGATTTCTTACCCAACTTCCTACCCGATTAATCGGGTAAGAAGTCGGGTAGGAATACCACAACTGATCGGGTAGGGTAGACCAAGAAAAAAAAATTTCGCAAAATATCAGGTAGAAAGACAAAAGAGTATATTTCCTACTCATAAGATAGGGTGAACACCCTTAAACCTAATTCCAAAAATTAACAAGATTCGACCTAGGACGTCCGGGAAGAAAATCATTTGCTCACAAACAATAGTACTAGTGGTCTCTAAGAGTATCTCTAAATTTAATCATGACTCAAAATTTTACTTAAATTTAAAATAACATTTGAATAAAAAAAACTTATTTATTACAGAGGGCTCCAACAGACATACTCAATTTTAAAGGAGGAGGAACCTAACCTAAATTTAAATAAGAACAAATTTAAATTTAAAAAAAAATAAATATGACTAATTGATTTTTAAAAGATGATGAAATTTTATTATTAAATATTTGGGTAAGGATTTGAATTTCTTTTGATTTAAGTAAAAAATTAAGTCTGTTTTGATTTTATATAAGTTTAAGTTGAAATAAATTTTTTTATATTTTCTTATTTAAATTTAAATTAAATTTAAACATCAGATTAAATTGAAACATCAGATTTGATGGGATCGAGAGAGGGAGGATAAGGAAAAAAAAAATAGAAAAATGTCAGATTGGGTGATCCTCAACCAAAGCTTCTCAAGCCCATAGCCATAGGCCCCTCCTCTCCTCCTTCCAATAGACTATTGTTGGCTTTGGTAATCTAATCGTCCTTCAACAACCAAACTGATGATTTCATTAGCATCATTATCTCTTTCCCACTCAAACCCATTGCACAATCCTTCAAGCAAACCCAATTCATTTCCACTTTCTGGGTACGTCAAAATTCTACATTTATCGCCTTCAACCACAGAAAACCCTCAAAAGAAGAGCAAGAATACCCACAAGCGTAGTCTAATCGTGGTGGCGGTCACTGAAGGTTCTGCGAAGAATTCAAGCAAGTCCAAAGAAGAAGAACAATCAACCCCTTCATGGGCTGCGCCAGATTCAGAAGAACCACCACCATGGGCTCGCGATGAAGCTCAGAAGAGTTCATCTGGCTTTGAGATTCCATTCTTTGTCTACTTACTTGCATCTGCTATCACTGCAATTGCCGCGGTAAATATCGCCAGTTTCTTCTTCCTCGAACTCTTTATCTTGTAAATAATTTTTTTGATGATACAGCAGATATGATTTTGAGTGAAGTTTGTTTATGTGTTTGTGCAGATTGGTTCTATTTTTGAGTATGTGAATCAACGGCCTGTTTTTGGAGTTCTGAATTCAGATAGTGTGTTTTATGCTCCATTGCTCGGATTCTTTGCGTTTACTGGCATCCCCACTTCTGTAAGCTGTTCATAAATTTCCTATATTGGGTTTTCTTTTTACCTTCATTTGGTTTCAGGCTATGCCTTTTCCATTAGATATTCCAGTTTTATTGTTGTTTATTTACTACTTACCCACAAAAAAAATAAATCGTGTGTATTTAGTTTTGAAGAAAATCCATCTGGTCTAGGGATATAATTTAGGGATGACAATTGGGCATATCGGTTCGTGTTGTGTCAAAATTGGCTTAATTCATATTTGACTCATTTCCAATTGTGTATATCAAATTCATGTCAAGTATAGCTACATTCATAGCAAGCGATTTATCATGCAAATCTGTTTTGACTTGAATCCGTTAATTCTAAACTCCAGGTGACTTTGCATCTACTTAGAATTGGATTGACAAACTGTGTTAAGAATTGTATTTGTTGCTCTAGCTATGGTATATGGGGTTAAATATTCCAGGATGATTCGTTTAGTCTGAGTATGCCAAAGTAGAGGAAGATGTGGGGTTATTAATGTCTACATAAAGAAAGAAAGAAAAAATAGTTTGATCCTGGATCCTGGTTTGGGCTGACCTGAATGTTAAATACAGGCATTCCTGTGGTTCAAATCAGTTCAAGCTGCCAACAAGGAGGCTGAAGAACAAGACAGGAGAGATGGCTATCGCTAGATTCATACATAAACCCTTTTCTGGGCTAATTTAAGTACCTTGTACAAACAATGTCTTGTTGAATTTGATTCTATACCATCTATTTTTCCCATATTTCTTCTTTTCTTTTCTCATTTTATTTCTCAGCTTACTAATTATACCTTTGATTGTGTATATTTACAAGGGTGAATTGCTTTTTGCTGCCATTGTTTTTCTACGTTGTGGACAACCTCCTTGGGTTTCAATAACATATACAGAGAAGTTATGGACAAAAGGGCACAGGTCACCAGGCAAAATGAAAAGATAACAATGTCCTTCATAATTTTTAGTTTCCTCTTTAATTCTCTCCCTAGAATAGATCCATCTTTCTCAGGATGCATAATTTCCAGAAAAAAATTAATAAAGCAACTTTTCCGTAGGAAAAAGTATGAAAATCTTTTGTAGGCTATATATCTCATTATTCCAATTAGAAAGGTGATTTTGGATTTAGGCCCTTACTTAAATGGCAAAATTACTGTTTGTACTCTAATCAGTGACTCCCAAGGATTTAAGTGCATAATTCTGAAACACGAGGGGTGTAATGTACAACTCAACCAACAATAGGAGGCAAAATACAGTTTGTCCTATAATTGCATTCTTTTCCATTTGCATGCTACCATGAGAAAAGATTATGATAATTTTGGTGATGGCATCACGGTTTTCATTCAAGTGAGAAATAGAAGAGACTGCGATGATCCGATTTCACCACTTCAGATGCATGTTTGATAGTTTATTATTTCCTGATTTGAAGTTTCTTAACTGTTATTCCTTGTGACCAAAACAAGGGAAAGAGGTATAGAGGGAGAAAGGGAGGGTGTTGTTTATCCCACAGCATGGTACATCATCCCAGTAATTTTACAAATAAGGTGAGTTGCCCAAAAATGGAATTGTTTTTGGTGATGGGGTTTTTTTTTTTTTTTTTTTGGGGGGGGGGGGGGGGATGAGGGGGTGAGGGGGAAAGATGAAGAGTCAGGAACACTATTGCGGTATAATATCCCTTTATACTAGAGCATAGTGTTTGTTTGATAATAGCCATTATTCGTACGAACTGCTTCCAATGAAAGGAAGGAGGGCGTATTGATGAATTGATCATGTATGTGTAGCTTTCATTGTAGTGCTGTTACTACTCATGGTTTAAATAGGAAGGAAAGAAATTCCACGAGGAGAGGAAGAAAGGAGATGAACATTAAGAAGGAAAAGAAAGTTGACTCAGTAAATCATCCTGACCCTTTGAGAAATTGACGTGAACCATTCCTCATGAGATATCCCTATTAACCCCTGACGTCTATAAAATCAACTTGTAAACTTGAAATCACTAGTAGTGACAACTACTTGAGATCTGACATTGAATTGATCTTTTCACTGGCTGAACACATCATGCATATCAAGCAACAAGCTGACCTAGAAGATATATTTACTGGCTGGAATCAGTTATTGAGCAGTAAAGGAAACATGTTGGCTCATCACTGGTCCTGATAAGTTTAGATTTTATTGAGTTTCTGTAGTAAAACTAATTCGTTACAGTGTGCTTTATGGCTTGGTAAGGAATTAAAGACTGGGAAAACATATGATGTTTCGGTTATTGTTTGGACCATTGGCTGCTGCAGTTCTTTTCATTAGTTTCAGAACCAGAGGAGAACGTCAATTTACTTTTAAATGCATATGAGATTAGGAATGGTTAATTGAAGGAAGGAGCACTCAAGGATTTGAAATAACTCGAACGCAACAAGGATATAACATCTAATTGTAGCCCCCAGAATGGCTTTCGAAAGATGGTGATAATTCATTATCGGTTCAAGTATCTGTTTTACATAAGAACGAAATGGCCAGGAACTAACAATGCTAAAATTGTTCTAACCTGAAGAAGAAAGAAGACGCAGATGTGCTGGTGACACTAACATCCCATTCGAGTCCACCCAAGGCATTTTCTGTTGGCTTTTCCTTTCTGTCTTCTGCTCTTTTGATTATCTTTTGGTTTTGTTAGATTTGCTTCTGCAGATGCTTCCTCCTGCAGGATTAAAGTGTACTACTTACAAAAGAGTGTGGCACAAAAGAGTGTCTAGCTTCAAATTCAAACCTAAAACTTACATGGATTAACAAGGGGTCTAGCCTCTTTTGAAGAGTGACTACTTCATCCTCATCCTGCTTTGTTAATATGGGTGAAGCTGAGCCACGCTGAAATTTTTCGGAAATGAGAACAGTTGAAGAGCTACTTACAAAAGAGTGTCTAGCTTCAAATTCAAACCTAAAACTTACATGGATTAACAAGGGGTCTAGCCTCTTTTGAAGAGTGACTACTTCATCCTCATCCTGCTTTGTTAATATGGGTGAAGCTGAGCCACGCTGAAATTTTTCGGAAATGAGAACAGTTGAAGAGCTACTTACAAAAGAGTGTCTAGCTTCAAATTCAAACCTAAAACTTACATGGATTAACAAGGGGTCTAGCCTCTTTTGAAGAGTGACTACTTCATCCTCATCCTGCTTTGTTAATATGGGTGAAGCTGAGCCACGCTGAAATTTTTCGGAAATGAGAACAGTTGAAGAGCTACTTACAAAAGAGTGTGGCACAAAAGAGTGTCTAGCTTCAAATTCAAACCTAAAACTTACATGGATTAACAAGGGGTCTAGCCTCTTTTGAAGAGTGACTACTTCATCCTCATCCTGCTTTGTTAATATGGGTGAAGCTGAGCCACGCTGAAATTTTTCGGAAATGAGAACAGTTGAAGAGCTACTTACAAAAGAGTGTGGCACAAAAGAGTGTCTAGCTTCAAATTCAAACCTAAAACTTACATGGATTAACAAGGGGTCTAGCCTCTTTTGAAGAGTGACTACTTCATCCTCATCCTGCTTTGTTAATATGGGTGAAGCTGAGCCACGCTGAAATTTTTCGGAAATGAGAACAGTTGAAGAGCTACTTACAAAAGAGTGTCTAGCTTCAAATTCAAACCTAAAACTTACATGGATTAACAAGGGGTCTAGCCTCTTTTGAAGAGTGACTACTTCATCCTCATCCTGCTTTGTTAATATGGGTGAAGCTGAGCCACGCTGAAATTTTTCGGAAATGAGAACAGTTGAAGAGCTACTTACAAAAGAGTGTGGCACAAAAGAGTGTCTAGCTTCAAATTCAAACCTAAAACTTACATGGATTAACAAGGGGTCTAGCCTCTTTTGAAGAGTGACTACTTCATCCTCATCCTGCTTTGTTAATATGGGTGAAGCTGAGCCACGCTGAAATTTTTCGGAAATGAGAACAGTTGAAGAGCTACTTACAAAAGAGTGTCTAGCTTCAAATTCAAACCTAAAACTTACATGGATTAACAAGGGGTCTAGCCTCTTTTGAAGAGTGACTACTTCATCCTCATCCTGCTTTGTTAATATGGGTGAAGCTGAGCCACGCTGAAATTTTTCGGAAATGAGAACAGTTGAAGAGCTACTTACAAAAGAGTGTCTAGCTTCAAATTCAAACCTAAAACTTACATGGATTAACAAGGGGTCTAGCCTCTTTTGAAGAGTGACTACTTCATCCTCATCCTGCTTTGTTAATATGGGTGAAGCTGAGCCACGCTGAAATTTTTTGGAAATGAGAACAGTTGAAGAGCTACTCCTCGATGTGTTACCTTCATCCATCACAAGGTTCAACTAAAAGGAAAAGCAAGTTAATGAGCTCAAAATTGCTGACCGCCTCAACACAAGCTAACCAGCATGAATAACAGAGAGGTAAGTGTGGCAATTGACTGTCCAACTTTTTGGCTTCCAAAATTAAGACATTGCTCCATAAACTATCTGAAATAAGAACAAAATATGTGGTTGATCTTTTTATCAAAACCTGTAAGACTCGGTTCTCAAGCATTTCAAGTCGTTCCATCAGTGTGCCTTTGTAATGAACTTCCTCAAGAGCAGTAGACAGATTTTTGCACCGGTCTTCTTCCATTTTTCTTACACCAGAATTGGAGAACTGGCTTCCTGACAAGTTTTGCTTCTCTTCCAGAAGCTGAAGCTGCATCATCAGAACTTTGCAGTGAAGAAGATGGTAAGCATAGTGGTAAATTTATACCAATGAACTGTGCATCATCTCCATGAACAACTCTGGTCAGTGTGCATTTTATAGTCATAAACACATGTTTACATGTTCTGCTCAATGTCTGTTATATGCTTTCACCTTTTCATTTCTTTCCATGAACAAGGATAAGATATTGATGATTCATGATGTGTAGTTATGTGTATTCTGGAAAATAAAAGATGTTTTACCAGGCGATTGAGGCGCTCCAATCTCGGGATAACAGGCATGGGTGAAACAGATTCTTGCTTTTCTTCATACTCCATGATTTTCTGTCTATTGGGGTCTTGTACAGAATGCAGCTCAGACCTTTTACCTCCTATATAATCAATTTCTATATGGGCATCACCGATTGTTTTTGAACAATACTCTCTTATGATGAGAAAAAGAAAGATCAGGGTGTGGAAGATTGATTCTGAATAGCAAGCTTTCAAAGATGTGGACGAGGTTGTAACAACTTTAACAGATGATGCAATTCAAAGGGGTATTAAATGACAACCACTATGCCATACTCCATTGTCATTATTCAAGCTTCTTGCCACTCTCTAACTTACTTTATACTTACCTGATCACATCTTATCTACAGCTACATGATTGGCTCTCTCTCTCTCTCTCCCCCCCCCCCCCCCTCTTTCTGGCATTGTGATTGCTGTTGTGGCTAATGTCAATAAAACAGATATTGATGATCGACTTTCCATTGGAACTTTATGTACGAGTCATCTATTTATTCTGAGAAATATTGGGCATAGGCCTATCAATGGATTAAATCTTAATTAGAATTCAAGTAGATCAATATGAATTGATAATCGACTATGTAGATCTGAATCTATTATACCATACTTCATGAATTTGGATTTTGATTAATCATTATCCAATCTGGTATTGTTATTGGAGCCAAATTGTATATATGAAGTAATTGAGTGATTATTTGATAAACTCGAGTGACAATTCAAACTCAAACGGAAATTGTTAAAATTAATTCTAATTAAGTTATACAAGTTATATATAATAGATTTGACTATGAATTTTGAACATAGAATTTGTCAGATAATCGTATCATATTTTTCAAATTGAATTCAGATTAAAATTCACACAACTTGAGATGAATTCAAGAAAGACTAGTTTCAGATCAGTTCATTACACAAGCAAGTTAAACTTGAATTTTATGGAAAGTTTGTTTAAATTTAAAACGAAGCTTGAACAAAAATTACAGTTACACCCCTTATTTTCTAATCCAAATCAAAAGAATACCAGCGTTAACCCATATCTGGACCTTTATGATCCTTATCTAAGGGTTTAAGCAGACCATAAGTGATAGCCATTGAAATCCACCCTCCAACCAGAACTCTACCAGCAGAAACCCTAACTGGTGAACCACCAAGATGCGCTCCAAGTCCACCAAACAAAGCCATGGCCATGGATGCCATCAAAACTATCAGCAAAATACGAATCGTGCTGTGAGAAACCACCATGGCTGATAGTAAAGGAACAAGTGACCCACACAAAAACGCCATGGCTGATACTACTGCTGCCTTGTATGGATTTGGAAGAAGCTCATGATCTTCTTTGTGATCCTCCTGATTTTCATCCTCCATGCCATTCGACCTTGCTTCTGCTATCATCACTTTCATCATAGGAGATCTTGCAGGAGACAAAACAGTGGCCAAGTTCTTCAGAGATGAGACTTTTTCCGATGATGGATGACATGGGTAATCACTCTCAGAGATCAAGTTTCCGGCGGGGATTTTTCTTGACGGAGTCAGTACCGGTGACACAGACAAATTAGCCTCAGGTTGCTTAGTTCCAATAAGAGCTAGACTAGCTCCGGTAGTGATCTGAAGCTTGATGTCAGCACCATCATCATCTTTATTATGGGTTGGTTTTGAGTTGGGTGCTTTAACTGTTATGCTTTCGATGTCTCTTTGGGTTGACACTGAGACGAACTCTCCCACGGCCATGCTACAAGCACCGGCGATTGCCCCGGCTAGTCCGGAGAGGACAATTGAACGTTGATCTTCTTTTGCGGCGCCTATGCCTAGCATTAGAGATGTAGTTGAAAGCAACCCATCGTTTGCTCCGAGGATGGCGGCTCTCAGCCACTGAGCTCTTTGTACTCGCTTCACAGCTTCCTCTTTCTTATCAGTGACCTGAAGCTTGTGGTCAGCACAAGCCATGGGTGTTTGAGAAGCCATCTATGGTAGATGAAATGGAGGAGTACTAGAGGGGAGTGTGGTTTTAGAGTTCAGACACGCTTACAATGCGTGGAGGGCTCATGGAGGCTATAATAAAAAGGATGATAAATTATGTTTTGACCCTCCCAATTATTTTCGTTGTGTCTTATTTTCCCCTCAACTATTTTATTTTTTGTATTTATTCTTCAACTACGATTAATGGGATCCACATTATCTCCTTAACAATCACGTTTCTCATATTATACTTCTAATTATGACTATTAACTTTACAATCTCAATTGTAGACATTAAAAACGTGGATTTTACTTGGACTTGATTATCCTAGAAGGAGGATTTTATGAATCCGAAACAAAATTAGCAATAGTGGATTTAGCCTTAGAAAGGTTTAGGTGATAAATAGGTGGACTCGATAGATCTTTTAAATAAATGGATCGACGCGAATCCATCTAAACAAGTATTATACACAATACTAATTTTCATATGAACAATTAGTTGAGCAAACTTTGACATAGTACGACTACTAAATCTTAGAAATATTACAACTACACGACCCATTGACAGTTTTAATTCTAGTACATGCTTGGGTATTTTTCATCTAAAATATGATAGGCGTTTGACTTTAAAAAATGTAAAACTAATTCAAATAGTCGAGAGGACAAGAAATTCCAAAATTGAGGAGATGAAAGTGTCCCTCCTAGTGGACAAAGGAGAGTATAACCTAGGACGCATAGAGCTTAGGTGGTATCGTTGAAAGATTACAAATGGCGTTGCCGTTGAGGTCTAAGTATTTTTGAGAAGCCAAGAAAAAAAATTTGTGTTACGCCACTAACTTTTGTGCTCAAACCAAAATTCCCTCATGAATTTTATATTTGAGAACAAAAGTTAGGGATAATTACGTTTATATTAGAGCTTTATCTTATTTGATCTGCCTTGTTTTTGTACAGTTCTATAAAAGAAATGCATAGGCAGTCAACAACTGAGGAATCTAAGGGGTAGGCAAGGATGATTGACTAAGTTTGAGAATATACGTCTATGCGAGATTATTAGCCATTAACCTAAGAATAGTTGAAATGATAATAAAAATGAATTATAAATATAAACGTTTTGCATTTGATTTTTGGCGTTGTCTTGAGATTAGGTCATAAAAAATTTGTCTTTTATAAATACTCTAGTTCTAATGTGGATGATTTGACTTTGATAAGACCTATGAGAAGATTAATTAAAATGCGCATAAATTGGTATAGACACCTCTAACCGTTAAAATTAAAAAAAAAATAGAGAGAGAGATTATTAGCCATCAATCTTCTTATTTATTTTTTTTTTGGGGAGGGGAGGGAAGAAGAGGTTTGAATCCTCGATCTCAAGAAGATAAAACTTACACAAGACAAAAAATATCATTAGGTCAAAGTCTCGTCGGTTACCATCAATCTTTTTAAGGAGTTGTCTATGGTGCCAAAAAAAAATCAGCACTATACCTTCATTTACCACATTTTTAGATACTTTTATCACTATTTATTGGTATTTTTACTATTGTTAGATCATCTCTAAATATGACTTAATTTTAGACTCAAATTTGAGTAAAAAGCTTGATTTGGTATAAAACCCTCGAATGGACAAATTTAAATATCTAATCAAATCTTTTAAAAAAATTTCTTACTATCCCGAAACTTATTTTTTAAATTTTTTCCACCAAATCATTTTATCCTTACTCATTATCTGTCTTCATTTCCTCTCCGATATTAAAACATAAAAGAAAAGGCTCTCCACTATTTAAAACTTGTTTCTTATAAACTTTACTAATATTAACCAAAAGAAAATTCAAGAATAGTAACCTCCTTGAGTGGTAAATTCGTGAGCTATTTACTGTCTCAAATAATGAATTTTTTTAAAATATTTGCTCAATATCAACTAACAGGATTTCATGTCTTTAATTTCGTCTAAAACAACTTATGTCTAAAGCAATTTCGTACGAGAACGAAAGAGAGATTTATTGAGAATTAGAGTTTATGGGAGAGAAAAAAGGGTTAAAAGAGAGTAAAAGTTGCACTCGAAGAATTGAGACAAGGAGAGGTAGTGTGATCGACAACGATAATTACGACTTTGAAAATAAATGCAAGAGAGGTAAGAACTTGTTTCCTCCGATGAGTCTTTTGGATTTGGATAAGATAAAAAATTATCGTTAAAAATTTGATATAAAATTTGATTCTCCTTCAATTTAGGTCTAGAATAAATTTTACCTTGATTTGAAATAAGTTTGGGTCTAAGGTTGTAAAAGATTTTTGGGTTATTTTGACTTAAATTTAAATTTGAATCTAAATTTGAATCAGAATTAAAGATACTCTTATAATACCAAAAAAAGTGATAAAAATAGTTACAACAACGGTGATAAAAACACTCACAAAAATAATAAATTTTTTGTTTATAAAATAATCCACAAAAAATTGTAAAAACACATGTTGAATTTTAGAGATACGATACTATTTTTTTTTTGTCAACCGTAGTCAAGTCCATCTTTTAAAATTTTGTAGGCTTGTCCTTTAAATTTGTTTAAAACTTTAAGAATTTAATAACTTTATTTAATGATATAATAGGTGATTTGGATTATTTCTACTGCTACGTTATTAGGTTATATTTTAAATCAAATTTTTAAGCCTCGATAACATTTATACGAATTTATATTCATGGATTATTTTGAAGCTAACCAATGGCTTTTGTATTCATTGCTCTTGCATTTGGTTTGAGTACGGAGTAGAAACAAGCTGGTCTAATGGTGGTTCATAATAATTTTTTCCCTTACTGAGTTAAAAATTTTAAAAATGAGATGATTAAAATTGCTTGAAATCCACTAATGTGAGGATTAATAAGCCAATTAGCCAGGTAGGAGCTTTATTTTGACTACGGGTGCGAATTTTACCCATTCACACGAACCCGGCACAATAGGAAACCTAAAATTAACACGATCAATTGATACAAATAATAAATTAATTAATTAATATTAAGACACAAACGGTATGATTAATTAGTACGTAAAAAAATAGGTATTTTATAATTTCTTAATATCATATGAATTGTTTTAAAAATTATAATTTTTTATTAACAAGTGTCGTGCTGAAAATAATACATCACGACACAATTGACACCCATAAATTTAACATGTGGCATCACCAAGTAATTATAACTCACCACATAAGCCTATTAATCTCACCAAATTCAGTAACCAACAATAACCATCACACTCCATAACCACCACATAGATTTGGCAAAGTGTGATGGTTACTGTTGACCTCATAAAGGCATGGTACCGAAATTTTTTTTACCGATAGTCAAGTCCATAATTCAAACCAGAATGCCTTTCTATGGTCTGGGGAGAGTTATCATCCTGAGCGATGAGTGAGGAACGGTCTAGGAAGAAAGCGGAATAGACCCTCAACAAATGGAGAGTACTTTTTGTGTGTGTGAGAGAGTGAGAGATGGCAATTCCATTTTTCATGTTAGTCCTTCATACCTAGCTTAATGTTCTGAACTTTAACGGTCAGTTGCAGTTTCTGCTGCTCAATATCTTTCAAAACTGAAAGCAAGTTAGCCCGATATACTTCACATTTTCGCTTCGCACGCTCCAGCTGACGTGATAGTTTCTGTATTTTCTTGTCCTGGTCATCCTGCAGAAAACCTAGCTATTTCAGTTTCACTAGCAAGAAGAAGAACATCAACTACCATATCCCACAAGGATGACTATCTACTGCACAGTCATTGGTGAAAATTCATTTTACAACTTAAGTATGCACACATACATAAATAATAATGATTTCTACCTTGAGCAAATAATCGAGTAGAAAGAATGCCAACATACAACAATTATTACTAACAAATTACACTGCAGTCCATCAATCTGTTATTTTGGGTGGTCAGTCAGTTGATCTGTTGACATAAAAAGTTATTGTTTATATTCCTCGAGGCTATCTAGGAGAAAGTTCTCATTGAATTAGTGGAAAATATGAAAATCCCAAAACGACTATGATGCTTGCAAGGCCAAAACAAGATGAGAGGACAGCAAAAATTTGAGAAATGTTGCCTAAGTATTGAGAAAGCAATTAATTAAAGTGACGTATAATAAATAAAACATTAGACAACTCACCACAGAAAGAGGTTGATCCGCACCCCATTGATGATCCCCAGTGGTGCTTTTTGCAAGACTTCCTTGAGTTGCACGGTCTTCGCTGCTAGCTACATTGCCGGAAGCTATTTTCCCACCATTCTTCTTAGCATTAGCAACTTTATTTGCAGCCTCTTGTAAAGAAGTCATTGCCACATTGTAAATCTCTACGGTCTTCACACCTTCATCTACGAACTTTAAGGCTTCATCACGAAGGTGGTTGTACCGGACTGTAAGAGATTCTCGGGAACTGTTCAACACATCGCATGTACGTTCCTCCAACATAACTCCACTCTTGGCACTTCTAGTCCATCGTTTTAAAACATAGTGAGAAGGTAGAGTAAGAATGTTTGTAACCCTAAAGACCGTCAATATGTGTCTACAAAGAAGACCCGAGAACTCAAACATGTGGCAGCTACAAGTTGCTTTCATCTCTCTAACATTATATCTAATAAAGTAAGCTCTATGGCTTTCACCAAATTTGGCAACTCGGTAAGTGGTGATGGCCTCGTCATCCTCTAATTTGGTCGCCACGAACGTAAGTGTCTCCACCAATTCCTCTTGAAACTTGATAAATAATTTCCTTGTGTAAACCTCGGCTGCTTGTTTCTCCATTGGTGATGGAGTCTTTAAAACTAGGGCAGCGTTCATGGTATCATAATCTGCCTTAACTTCTTTCTCATAGCGACTTTCCAGAGCCTTTTCATACTGCTTGACAAAAAGCTGCAGAGTAGTTGATGCATTCACATAACCATCAAAGTAAGAATTCATGCTATCACTCCGTTGTGTTATAGACATTTCTGCAAAAAATGTGTCCCTCAAGTAAGCTGGGATCCATTGTCGGCGATCAGTATAAATAAGTCGAAGCCACTCATTTTCACCAAGGTCATATCTATCAATCAGGGGCAACCAACAAGATTCAAATTCTTCAATTGACTCAGTCAAGTTAACACATTTATGGAGCTCTGCTTCAAAATTTGGGTGTTGAGAAAGCACATGAGACAACTTCTCTTGGCATTCCTTAAAGATGTGCCACTTGCAAAAACGGTGACGAGTCTCTGGGAAAACCTGTGTAACAGCCAAACAAATCACCCTATCATGATCGGTGGTGATGGAGATGGGAGACCGACCAGACATTGCCATGAGCCATGTTCTAAACAACCAAATAAAAGATGCCTCTGATTCATTAATCAGAAGAGCACACCCAAACAACACAGGATGTCCATGGTGGTTCACTCCTGTGAAAGGCGCAAAGGGTAACCTATACCTGTTTGACCGGTAAGTGGTATCAAATGTCACAGTATCCCCAAAATAAGTATAATTAGATCTCGCATTAGGGTCAGCCCAGAATATATTACTCATACACTGGTCCTCATCTCCCTGCACGGCATAGAAAAACGCCGGGTTCTCCAGATGCTTCTCTTTCAGATAATCCAATAAAATCTGTGTGTCACCCCCAAGAGTCCTCTGCTTACTACTTCTCATATAATTCCTACAATCACGCTCTGTAAACCCAACGTTGCTAATTCCACCATACTCCTTAATCAGAGCCAACATAATTCCACTGGGACCAATACCAGCCCCCTGTAAAGTATCAATCAACGACTTTGCAGCCCCAGAAACATGGCGGTGAGAACGGAGACAATGCACCTTATCAGGCGGAACAAGCTCATGGTTATGCTCTTTCATGAATCCCCATACAACCCACCTACCAGAATCCTGAATCTTGATCACTAGCATAGCTTTACATCCTACCCTAGTCTCGGCCCGAGGCCGCTTAACCCTACCACTATCGCGGCCTGGCTTCTCCTTTTCGACTCGAAACCCTTCCTTAGCACAAACAAATGATCTTTGTATAATTGCACCATCACGCCTCGACCTCCTTGACATACTAACCCTAGTACTAAACCCTACCCGCCGGGCATATGAGTTGTAGAAGGATTTAGCTGCCTCTTCGGACTCAAATTCCATTCCTTCATAAGGTTCGAGGTCCATATCTCCCTCAGGAACATAAATTTCAGCACCACCACCACTTCCGCCACCCACTCCGCCACCGTAAGAGCAATCAAGGACATCCTTATTGTCATCGCCATCAACAGGATGTTCAATGTCAACCGCATCATCTCCAAGTCCAATCATATCGAATTCAATCACATCGTTACCCATTCCCAGCGGTTCAAACTCCATTTTGGGGCTTATAAGCACTACAGTTTCTGCTAATTATAACACCAAAATAAAACAAACCCTAAAGAAGATAATTTGCATACGAAAATCAAGTACGAACAGGTACAAGTGAGAATATATATATATATATATATATAATTATGTGTACTGACCGTGGATTATGAAGAGACTATGCACTGAACATGTGATCTTCCAGGTACACGAAGCTCATAGACATAGTATTAAGAGTCATACGGACTTATATCGAAGAAGTAAAAGGTTTAATTCGCGGGGGGGGGGGGGGGGGGGGGGGGGGAGAGTTCGTTAGGTTGCGGACCACTGAGTTGAAGAATTGAGGAAGAGAGAGAGGGGCTAGCTTGGGGAGAATGGATCTAATTGATATTTCATATTCGAGTTAATTACAAAATGCCACTTGATCTTGTTTCAATTTACTCCCTCAGGTTTTTAATTTCAACAATTTACCCCTTTTGCTTAGAACATTGCCTCAATTAACCCATCACCGTTAACTCTTCCCGTCAAAAATAACGGGACTTAAGCAATGAATATCAAGTGACCTAACATTTATTCTAATGAACCCTTCAATCTCACTTTCTCTTACAAACCTACTATGTTCATTTCAACCCTAATCAACCCCCCTCGAGAATCAATCTCTACCCCATCACTTGATGGTTCGAGCAATCACAAGCCCCATTTAAATCCTGCAGCCACCTTGTCGTCACTCGCTCCGCCATAACCCCCTTCCCATAAATCAACCAATAAACCACCATGAGCAATCCCATCGAATTAGTAATAATAGGGCACAAGTCTAATTAAAACAAAAATAGAGAACCAGTCAAGCCTAAGGGTACAAAAATAATTTTGCAATTTCCATTCAATTCCTCAATTAATTTAGTCTATCTCGAACTTACAGTGGGCAAATTATTGAAATTAAAACATGAGGGAGCCGATTGAAACATGACTTATAATTGAAGGGGCATTTTATAAGGAATTCTTCAGATTATGATGACATGATTAAAAACCCAAAAAAAAGGAGGGTTTGATGAGTTATTGTCAATTTAATTTAGGGCAAATTACTTCTAGATAGAATTAATTAGACAGATCCATCAACTATGAAGAATAACATCACCACCTCCACCTAATTATAGCATTAAACTGAGATTTAATGAAAGTCATGAAACGATCATTTCCCTCTTCCTTACGAGAGTAAACTCAACTCAAAATAACACATAATTAACGGTCTATTTAATGGAATAGATGGTACACTTTTATCCCTTTTTAAATAATTTCTTCCTTCTTTTGTGTTTTGATAAACGGGATGAAAAGTATGAATAATTAATTTTTTTTGTGTTTGGTAAGATGAAAAAAATATTTTTTTTCAAAAAAAATTTAAATACATATTTTATCATTATATTTATATACGAAATTAATATATACATAATATGTAATTGATAAATATGATATATGTATATATTAAAAAATATATAGATAAATAACATACATTTCAACACATATAATTAATTTTCTATCCACTTTTTCTTCTAATTTTAGAGGGATTAATTTTAGTGAATTAAAAAGAAAAATCATTCATCTATTTTTTTATCCCTCCTATTTTTCTTATTTACCAAACATAATATTTTATTTATTCCTCTAATTTTTTATCATACCAAACAAAACATAAATCATAACCCAAACACAAAATAATATCTTGACTCCGTCCTATGTTCACCACCAAGGTTATATATTCTCTAACTCGCTCTCTCTCGACTCGACATCCCTCCACAACAACTTACACTACATCAGGCGAGTTGGGTAGTCATTTTGATTTTATTTTGCTATTAGAATATGCGTGAAGAATAGGTTTGCTTGCAATTACTGTGGCTTCTTGAACCAAATGAGTGAATCCAAATATTCCTTTCCTCCTGAATCTAATTTTTACTTTTTGCTGATTAATGCTTCGTTTGATATGATGAAAAAATGAAAGGATAAAAAATTTGAGAGATAAAAAGTTAGAAGGATAAATAAAACATCATATTTGGTAAAGAAAGAAAATAAAAAAGATGAAAAAATTGATGAATTAACTTTCTTTCCAACTCACCAAAATCAATTCCTCCAAAAACAGAAGAAAAATGAATAAAAAATTAATTATTTATGTTGAGATGTATCTTATTTGTTTATATATATACTTTTGGCAGAGGCTCGACAGCCTCTAAATGAACACGTGCAATAATATAGCCGTTATCGAACCCAAATGGACATGGGTAAGAGCGTCAAGCATTAAATATTCAGATGGGACTTAAAACATTTTCACTCATTGTTAATCCAAGTATAAATACACATCAAAGAAATAAACAAATATACGCAAAACAAAACTGAGATAAAATATACACTGCGCTCAAGCCTCTAATCTTATACTGACTTGAACTTCAGAGGGAATAAGTCAAGTATTCACCCGGCCCCTTTTCTGACCCTATGGATGTTTCAGGTTCACCATACAGAAGATCGTTAAGAGTGAAAATTTTTGACTTAACATGACTCAAACTCGACATGAATTTTATGACACAAACTTGATTAACTCGAATACAAACACGAACACGACACAAAAATAAAAAAGTCAGCTCGTAACTCGACACGACACAATTAATTAAATGAGTTGAGTTAAGTATAACTAATATTAGACACAATCCCGTAATGATTCAACACAAATTTAACACAACACGAATCGATTGTCACATCTAATCTTAACCAACACAAAAAAAAAAAATATATATCCTTCCTACTTTTTTTTTAAAAATATAAAAAATATATACCTCCTACTTTTCATCCTATCTATTAAACGGCGCATACCAGAGATATGAGATTCTTAAAGATCTGACAAATCATTTTGGGCACGTGTTGTGTTCCGTTTCGGCTAGAAAAATCAAGCCCGATAGTCGGGCTGGCCTAAAAACTGGCACACCTATCTCAAGCCCGAGGAGTCGTGGCACAAGCCACAACACTACCTCCAACCCAGGGACTGGCCTGAAGCCCTACCCCGTGTGCAAGGTCAACCTTCCAACATGACCAATATAACCTGCTCATTAACAACAGTAATGGACCATGGGTGGAGCTATGGTGTAGGGCCCTTACCTGATACCCGGCCAGCCGACTTCACGGCTTGGGCTTGGCCCAACACTAGCCGATCCGGCACCGTCCGAAAAATTTGCCAGGTTGTGTGCTTGTCCGGGATCATGAACACCCCTAAACACTTTTGAATGCAACCTACTAAAGTTAACAACAAAACTGCCAACCTCTCTTTCCAACAGATGAAATGACAAATATGTTTTAAAAACATACATAGCAAAGCATTCAAGTATCACTGAAGTTTATCAAAAAAAAAGGTTTCACTGAAGAGATTTTTAAAAGCATAAATAGCAAAGCATTAACAAATGCATTACTTAGGTCCTAAGGTCTACAGTCAGCCTGAGAGAGATACAGTGGCAGGAGGAGCATAATTCCATCCAGACCGAGAAGAGTTGAACATACCATAGAAATTCTTATGTGGTGTCAAGCAATTGATTAAGGTGCATACTGGGCGAAGATCAGAGATTAAAATCAAGCTACTAGCCACATGAAGAAGGTTGACCAAAGAGTCATTGCAACTGATGCCAAGGTGTATGTCCACAGTAAAATAACAGAACATTCAGTCTCGCCAGCTCCAAACAATTGAGTAATTGTTCCTGCCAAAAGAAGTGGCATACGGGGAATGATCACATGTTGTCAAACGAAAAAAAGGATATAAAGACTCATGTTCCAGCTCTCTACCTTGCCACAGATATGCACGAGGAATACGGTAGTGATGCAAATAATAGCATAGATTCACCACAAAAAGGAAGTCAGATTGGAAGTAGAAAAGAGACATTAATACATTAAGCTTTTGATCAGTGATGAAAGTCAGAATCTTGGAAAGATCCTAGTACATAGTCAGACTCGATGCAACAATGAAGTTACAGATTTACAATATCTACTCATCGAACCTACGCTCATTACTAGTAAAAGTGCATCTACAATAAGAACTGATACGATGGACTTGGCATACCTATATTCATTGCTGGTGGAAGAGCAAATTGTAAAAGAAGAACAAACTGATATAACGGATCTGCTTGCACCAGGCCAAAATGAATTGCCCCTTTAACAATAATAATACCCAACAGAGGCAGGAAAATATACCGAACTGCGATTATTCCAACAATTAGAGACAGCTGAATTCCTGACCCTTTTAGACCTGAAAAACAAACCTGTGTATGGTAAAAAAACTCTACTTTGCCAGACAGAGAGCAAATCTCAACTTGATAATTAATTTCAGATGTCAGAAAAAACTAAAACTGAATTTGCAAATCACCTTTTAGAAGGTTGGCTCCCACTATCAGTGTGACAGTTGGAATTGCTGCATCCCTTCAATATAACGGATAAAAAAGGAAAAAAAGCAAGTTATCAAGATTTCCTATATAACAAGCAACAAAACAGATATAGGCTGAAAGTCACAACAAGTTTGTAAAGGAATGCACACTCAACCCAACAGAACAATGTTAAGTCTTGATCTATAACATATGTTTCTAAACAACTGTCTTTTCTCAAAGCCCCAGTTAACTAGACATTCATTTTTCCAGACACACAGAGAGATGCTCTGACAATCCCTCCAGGGGAAAGGGTGAATAGAGCTATCTCACTTTGAAAATTAAGTTAAACCCAGGGTTGGTCGCCACGTCACCCATTGCCAATTGGTCTTTGGTGTTGGGTGCTCTAACATGGTAGGTCCTGTGTAGTTAGTGGGCCAAGTCTCTCACCCAGTTGAATTCCTCAATTTGTTTTTCGTCTGTGCTTCAGTTAAGCTCCATTGTATATTTGTTTTTCTGTCAGTTTGGCTTGTGAGCCCAATTTCGAGTCCAGGTCCCATGTGAAGGAGGATGTGAAAGAACTATCCCACATCAAAAAATTAAGTAGATGCAACGTTGGTTTATATATTTGACGGACTACTCCACCCATTACCAATTGGGTTTGGGTTTAACGCTCTAAAAGAAAGAAAAAAGGTAACATAAAAACTAAGATCTTATAACCTTCGTCTTAAGAGAACACCATAAGAAAGATCTTGGCAAAAGCTATTGCTTCAGTCATTCAGTAGCCTCAAGTTAGAGTAAACATCAAGAGGAGAAGCCAACTTCACAAAAACAACACCACTTTAATTGACTTAAAACTCACATTGTTACACAGAAGACTTGTGGCCATAAAAACCAGATATAAACTTGTACAGGGAATAACTAGGATTGCGAGAGAGAGAGCCAAGACCTTGAAAATTCAAATATTATAAAAAGAGGTCAATAATCTGGTGGAAAATGTTGACATTCTTAGCACTGATGTGCTCAAAGAACACACCGTTAGGCAAATGTGAATTCTGTACTGAGCTTTCATGCGTTGTTTACTGAGATTTTACATATTATCATTTGGGTGAAAACAACCTTCTATATTTTGTTTATTTTCTTATTAGTAAACAAATTTATATCTTTGACAATGCAAAAAGGTAAAATCCGATGCACATCCCAAAGGGGAAACATATTCAATAAATCAATGACAGGAACAATAATTAGACCTTGGATAACTAAGAAACAAACGTACACTTATTATTCTGAAAGGGAAAGGAAAGATATACCATTTGTATCACTTCTTGGCCGGCAGTGCATAATTTGGCCACTAGACACATCGAGTATGAAACAGTGAATATTCACTTGGAGCCTATTGGGTTGTATGCATGCCACTTATATTTCTACATGATAATATGCCAAACTCGGAATTTCAGTTCACCGTGTTCAGAATGGTGCCAACCATTTGGTTGTACTTGCTGCCAAGTTCGAACAATCACATAGCATATTCAAACAATAAAATGAAAATTGAAAGAAAGAAAAGTTTGCCTTTAATCTTTGCTCTTCTAATGCAGTATACAAATTCTAGAAACAACCCAGAGGCAAGGCATAACACTTTATATAATGTCACGAGTAATTGGTCCTATACAAAAAAAAGGAAAATTGGATACATACCCCAGCAAGGAAGCAGAATCTTGGACCACGCGAAGAGGAGCAGTACCACCAATAATTAACTTTCGGAATAGGGGAACTAATCCAATGACAAACCCAGCAAGCTACACAAAAAGACAATAACTATTTCAACAGTGAGATCCCATGTTAGAACTTCTTCACACTACACGAAGGAAAGTAAACGACAGTATCATAAGTGAGTTCCAATAATCCCCCAAACACGCTTAACAACGTGATAAATACATTCCTGTGCTTGATAAAATATTACCCAAGTGGTACATAAGACGAATTATCCAATTATAAAATACCAACTATTCACATCAAATCTTTGACTCTGCGAGTGTAAATTTCAAAATGATAGACCCGTACCCACTATTTCACAAGGTTGTACACCTGATGAGTGTCACTATATGCAATAAGCTAGCCCCTGCTTGTAATGATGCCCATTATTGATTACTAGGGGAAATTGAACACCTTCTGACCCTCAACCATTAAGACAATATAATTTGTCCCTAACATGTTGTGCCCTTCCCAGCCAGTAAAAGACTGAGAAGGACTGGAACTCCAAAATCATCTGATTTTCTAGGTTTGCCACTGTCAATATCTTGTAAATATGAGAACCAAAATATAATAAAATGAAAAAGAAGTAGAACAGAAAAACTAATAAGGATAGAAAGTATACCGCTCCAATAGTTGAAGGTGCAAATAGCGCATTCAGATTAATCTTTCTTGAAAACTTCCCTAAATTTTGTTTTATCTGATCCAAAACCTGGTACAAAACTAACAGTCAAAGAACATTCATGTTGCATATTTTGTGGGGCACATAACATTTATTGATGTTAAAATTATGCTAATGGGAAAATTCAATGCTCTTGAATGCACTAGTTTCACCCTCGCATCGAGGGAAATGTTAGTTTTTATCCAACATGCATGACCTGACACCATTTTTTTGTACTCGAACGTTCGTGCTTACAAATCAAATAGCTCTATGTGGGGAAAATACAACACTTCACGTGTAGGATCTTTCAACTCAATTATACATGAGGAATCGCACGCTAGACCTAGAGGGGGTGAATATTTTAATTTAAAATTAAGCTCGAATGACCTCCCATTTTAACCTATATCTACAACAATTAGCTCTTCTCAATCAAATATAGAAACTAATGATGAGAATCCCTTTTCACATGAACAACCCAAAACATTCATGTAGATTAGTGTATTGATTTTATCAATTTGTTGATTAACACTCAATCTCACATGACGATCCTAACCAAGGCAACTCAAACCCAATCAAGCAACTATTTGTGTTATGTAGATTCAAATAATCAATTCATCAAACACATAGTGCCCTTGTGTGTATCAAATCACAAGCGTATATGTAAAAGCAATAAAGAATACAAATGATTTATTGAAGCTGAAATCCTTCATGAGAAAAACCGCAGGAAATTTTCTCGGTTCACCAAAGTCAAATCCATTAAACCCAAAATCAATCTACAAGTACTCAAGACTTATACATCAACCAATCTACATGGCTAAATGCTCCTTCGACGTTATGGCTAACTTCGCTTGAACTCTTCGCCGCACAGTTCATTTAGGCCTCAAGCAACCTTCAAAGCTTCACACCCAAGACCTCGGTATGCACACTTTTCTAAGTGGGTTTTAGTTGATACCAAGTAAGATCTTCTTCTTCAATGTGTGAGGTTGAATGGAAGAATCAAAATAGTTGCTCCTTAATCTTAGGGATCTAGGGTTGTTCTTAAAACACTCTAGAAGGATTTTTAGTCTATTCTAGCTCAAAGATGCTTACCCTAGGTTTAAGATATAGCCCCATATATATAGGATACAAAATAAGGTTTGTCTTGGGAATCAAGAAAACACAGATTCACGTTGGCCTTTCAAGCAGTGGAAGGGTGGTCGTAGAGTGGTGGTTGCTAGAGTAAAAGATCATTCTACACCTCTAGACAGCTCGAGCGGTGGAGGGCGGTCGTAGAGCGGCCATCAATCGGTCTCCACTGATTTCTCTAATTTTATCTCCCTAAATGCTTCAGAAACCACTCTAGGAAAGGCTAGCGAACATAGAGTAATTGCTACTAATTTTTAAGCTGAAAACCAAGTAAAAACTTGACCTATTGAACATTAAAAGGTGTTGTCCAAATAGGGTTTGATAAATGACTCAACTATGTTTTCAAAATATATAAATGGTTTAGAAAAATTTTTCTTTTAAAATCACCTAGAAGTCATAATCGGATCGTTTTCAATTCCATTTTCATCCTAATCAACTTAAGTTAAAATTAGCTAAGGGTTCATATTAGATGTTTATGTCATTACCTTTATCCTAAGCATCAAGATATATACGGAGGTTGAATGATATAACTTTGACACTTGATCTCCTCCTTTCAATGACGCTTTCGAATCTTGAACTTGATAGCATCATAACCATGGAATAAGTTGAGATTTTACAATGGACTCCACTAAATTAGTCAATTACAAATATAATTTAACACTCTAATTCCTGTAAAAGAGATGCATGAACTTTTTTATCCATTCTTCTGAGGTGACTCACCTCAAATAAGATCGAAGACGCTGGTAAACCAATGCATAATAGCTCATGGAAGTAGCAAAGCTCTTGAGGCAAAACACCAAAAAATTAAAAAGAAAGTATGCCAATAGGGCTATATGACTGAGACAAAGGGTAAGGGCGTTAGATTGAGCTTTCACTTCTTTGTTGAGGATATTTTCAATTGGTAAACTGAAACCATATGACTCAGAATCGATTGTTGAATAAACCAATTGAAAATGAAATTAGGGTGTCAGGCTGGCAACAAAGAGTCAAGATCCAAAACTGTTATGCACAACAGTTCTTCCGAGGCAAACTTACCAGGCTTTTAATTCAAGCAGTATATTTTCCCTGTTTCTCCAATTCTAATATAACATTAGCTAGTACAAGATACTTGGTACAACAAACCATTGAACAACACATATTTGGTGAGGAGGTGGTGTAAGCCAACCTTTAATTTTCCTTTACTGGGCAGCAAAAACTCATTTGCATGGTCCACAGAGAGATTCTGATGTTGCAATTTGGTGTGGTTTCCTAAGAGAGGTTCTGATGTTGCTTCAGTAGACTTCATACTGATAGTGGAATCATCTGGGCCAATACTTTCAGGGACCTTAGTTGAGGACACCCGCACAATGTTGTAAACATAAGACCACAAAAAAATTGCTCCTACCTGAAGTATCAACATGAGCAAAGATTAGACTCACTGGAGATTTTAGCCCAGACATGTACAGAATTGTTCAGAGAATTATATGTATGCTTGCGTGTGTGGTTTATATTTTTTTTTTGCTATTGCAGCAAGAAATTACAGAGATTATTATTAAGCAGAATGTTGAGTTTCGCTCATCAACAAAGTTGAATTGTAACTTATAAGTCAAATAAGATGAACTGAAGAAAAGGTGAGTAATACAAGAATACAAGGTTCGCAAATATTTAACCACAAATACCAAGTATATTTAGTTGGCACCTTGCCATTAGTTCAGCATATTAAATCCAAAACCAAAAAGAAGCTACTGATGACGTACCGCCATAGAAAGTGAAGCATAAGACATTCCATATGCATGGCAAATATCAGGTGCTCCAAATGGACTAGCTTCTTCTCTACAAATTGCTGGGATGATGATTAGAGGCAAGTTCCCCAAGTTTCCTGTTGACATCAACTCAATGCATGAAAAGGTAATGGATGCAGTTATGTAGAGTAGATATACTGTCAAATTACCAATTGTCTCCTCAAGTTGACAGACCAACAGAGAGGCATTTACTATGCTAAGCAGTATCAAATATTTATGGCTTTTGTTATGTATCTATATGGAACCATTACCACTTGAAGTGGTAAAATACCTAAGCTAGCAATCGTGGAGGTTTTTGGTTCAATTCCAAGAGCAATCACTTTGCTCAAATATTGTCATATGTCATATCTGTACCTAGTCTACCCATCCCAGCCTCCTTGGTTAACAGGAACAAAATTGGTAAATGTTATTTGACATGTTTATAACAAAAATTCTTAGAAACTTCGGTCACAAGCTTTTTTTCTGACGGCACATTTTATTGAGTCAGAAGTTTTTTTGCTTTTTGCTTTATGTTTCAAAATATAAATCAAAGCAACCAAAAAGACAATCTATCTGGAGTTTGGATTAAAGCTCCCTTATCTGTTAAAGATTCACTTTCCTATTTTACTTTCGTATTACGTCACTTTCCAACTATGTTCTACTTTCCTAATATTGAAACTATCTTTAATATCAATTTAATTTGCATATGTGATAAGGTTTTGGTAACACATCTTGCACATATTATTTTCTCAATCTCTTTCTCTCTTCTCTTACTTCTTCTCTCTCCTAAACTTACACCCTAATACTTGATTATTTTAGTTTCAACTAGGCATCAGAGCATTGTTATAGTCGGCCCTCTTGTTCCCATCTTTTCTCCTTTCTTTCTCTTCTCTACCCACTGTTCATCGCAATTGTTCATAGGTTACTGTTCATTACCTGTAACTGTTCATTGTGAAACTTTGATTGCTTGTATGAAGATTTTTGGATCCTAAATCATGTCAGATAAGTTGTGATGGCTGGTGGTTGAGTTCCTATTGTTGTAAGTGTTTTTCGTCACTGTTGAGATTACGATTGTCTCATTGTTATAGTCTTTGTTCTGTCTTGTTCTTGATGATTGGGTAACAATTTTGTAGAAAAGAAGTGTTTTAGTAAAACCCTTATATGTGCTTGTATTTGACCCATTTTTTTTTAGGTGGTTTTGTTTTGGGGGTTTCTCGCGCTTGTGTATCTTTTTGGGTAGCTCCAGTGGTGGATAGGCTACCTGGTTGTGTTTGAGCACATTATGGTTAGACTCATAGCTTCAATGCGCGTGCGGATGGAGAGGGATTCAAACCCCCGATATTCTTATCAATACTTTTGTTTTCAAGACCGACTCTTTCAACCGCTCAGACATCCATCCCCTTCGCACTTCGCTTGCCCTATCTATCCGCGCACCGGCAGTTAGGAGATTATCTATGTGATTCACTATGTTTACTTGCGCCTATCGACAAATTCTATTGCCTGCTGGTTAGCGAAACTTTTTCAATAGTACGAATCGCTACACTTCGCCTATTTTTATATGAGAATATTTTTGGCTAATTTTGATTCTTTCTAAGTTATTTTGTGTAATTGTTGATTGTTTGTAGATTATTGTTCTATTTGGTCCCTATTGTTGCATAGTTGACATTGGTTTTCATTATGGAAATTTTGAAGGATGTAAAAGCCCCCTTCAGTGGATCATCAGGTTATAGTTGTTCATTCAATGGATGATTAGACTAGACAGATCACTTTTGTCTCACGTCTTCGACATGCTTCTCTTAATCATATGGCTTCTTCATCTACAAGAGTACTCTACCTCAATATCTATTGAGAATAATAGTGATGGTCATGGTGGTTGTGGTGGTGATCATTAGCAATGGTGGACATTATGTTCGTTCTAGTTGTGGTAATCATTCTCAATGGAAGTGTACTTATTATGGTGGCACAAGTCATATTGAAGATTATTGTCTGTATAAATATGGGAGACCAACATATGCTAATCAAGCGTCTAATGATACTTGGAATTCTCGGATACATCAAACTTTACTGATGGTCCAGTTGCATCTATTTTTGTTTCTCATGATGACCTTTCTTCTCAACTTGGTCAACTCATCGAACAGTTATGATTTTCTAATCAACCCTTTAATACTGTAACCAAACAAACCCCTAAAGGTATTTTTGGTACTTTTATGGTTATATATATTAGGATGTACCTATGTAAGCATAACACACTACACTTTTCATATAATCGCTTCTTTCTCTTAATTCTTTCTTCTTCTCCTCTAAGCCCTAACAGTCTTGCAAACGAACTGTATATACACCATCATTTAGTTTAACTCCTCGTGTCTTTAGTTATATGGTCTTTGTCCATCTGTTTGGTTCTGGTTGTGACAAACTGTCACCTCTCTCAGTCAAGTGTATCTTTTTAGGATATCCTCATACTCAAAGAGGTTATCAATGTTATGATCTCATCTCTCGTTGCTACCATGTCAGGGCTGATATTACGTTTCTTGAATCATCTCCCTTCTTTTATGTGTCAGCTCATCACCTTGTTGCAAATTTGACATCTCTTAGTCGAGGAGCTTTTGTTACCTACTATTCCAAACTTTATGACTTCTCTTCCATCAGTGTTGGCTCCTCCACTACAAGTTTACCATCGCTCCAAGGATAGACAAGTTGTGTCGTATGCTCCAACACTACAGCTAACACAGACTTCTATTGAGGTCTAGCCTCCAAAGTCACGTGTTACTCCATCGTCTTATGATCTATCCATTGTATTACAGAAAGATACTCGTAGTTGTACACATCCTATTTCTAATTTTGTCTCATTTCATCAGCTTTCCTCATTGTATTTTGTTTTGCATCATCATTATCTTTCGTATTTGTTCCTAGCACTTTCAAACAAGACTTATCATCTCCTAGATTGACAATGGATGAAGAAATTAAAGTTCTTCATGAGAATCAGACATGGAACCTCATTTTGTTTCCTCCTACTAAGCAACTTGTTAATTGTCGGTGGGTATATATTGAAGTATTTTCCGCTGGTTCTATTGAGCACTTAAAGGCGTGAATAGTTGTCAAAGGATAATTTAGACATATGGTGTGGATTATTGTGAGATCTTTTTTTTATGTTGCTCTTCTTTACTCTGTTAGAGTTTTACTTTTTGTTGTAGTGAATTTGGATTGACCTTTGTATCAACTAGATGTAAAGAATATTTTTTTACATAGAGATCTATCGGAGAAAGTACATATGGTTCAGCCACCGGGATATGTAGTTTCTGGGAAGGAATGAATAGTATTTCAGTTGAAAAAAACATCGTATGGCGTGAAGCAATCACCAGGTGTGTGGTTTGATAAATTTAGTGCAATTGTGCATCAGTATGACTTTTGTTGTGATGACTTGTATTCAAGTCAATTGTTTTTTATATGGACTTTAATTGAAGACATGAGTTTTCATTGGAGTCCTTGATGGATAAGTTTGACCTTAATTAGGATTATCTTGGTTTTATTATTTTAGTGGAGTTTAGTCCAACATGGACTTTTGTTATTTAAACTCAAAACCTTCGAGGAGTCTTTGATTTTTTGTCCTACACGTGAGACCTCCTCAGCATAAAGACTTTGTGAAAAAATCAAATTCCTTAGTCCAGAAGCTAGATAAAAAAGACGTCTTCTCCAGTGAGTTAGTGGTTGGCCATTGACGACGGTACAAGAGTTTTCTTTGTGTGTGATAAATTGATATTGCTCTATTTTGTTAAATCCAATAAATATTTTATTATTGGAATAGAGCAGATATCTAGTTTTCTCTTTGATTTGTTCTGAGAACGTTGTAATCTCCAACCTTTCAATAGTGAAATTTTGGCATTATGTTTCGTTCGTAGATGTAGGTTTGTGTTCTATTTTTCTATTTCGTTGCTTTATTATTTTGCTTGTGATTTTGTTTAAAACAAATTGGTATCAGAGCTATTGGTTTCGGGATGGCTACCGCAAAATTCGAGATAGAAAAATTTAATGGTAAAAAAAATTTCAGTTTATGGCCGATCAAGATGAAGGCATTGCTTCGTCAGCAGGGTTTGGCAAAGGCCATTGATGGAACTTTATCCAAGGAGATAGATCAAACTAAAGTTGTTGATATTGAAGAAAAAGCACACAGTGCAATTCAGTTGTCTTTTGCTGATGAAGTTCTTCATGAGGTTATCGATGAAGACAAAGCCGAAGGGTTATGGAAAAAGTTGGAGAGTTTATATATGAAGAAGTCTTTCGCCAACCGCTTGTATCTGAAGCAACGGTTGTACACACTCAAGATGAAAGAAGGTACGCCCATTAATGAACATCTTGATGAATTTAACAAAATTATTATTGACTTAAAAAATATTGATATTAAAATTGGGGATGAAGATCAAGCCCTTATTGTGTTATGCTCGCTGCCTGATTCGTTTGATAATTTTGTTAATTCAATGTTGTATGGGAGAGACTCAATCTCTTTAGTTGATGTGAAATCCTCTTTGAATTCTAAGGAGTTGTGTACTAAATTGAATAGTAAGGACAGTGATACTCAAGCCGAGGGTTTATTTGTGAAGGGTCGTCATGATAATTCCTCTAATAATAATAGAGGTCGATCCATTGAAAGAAATTCAGATAAAGGAAAAAGAAAAGTTGGATATCGATCACAGTCTAGGAAGAAACAGAATAATGTTGAATGTTTTTATTGTCATAAAATTGGTCATTATAAGCGTGATTGTTTTAAGTTGAAAAATAAAGGGGGACAAAAAAATTCAAATCCTTCTAATTCCTCTAGTGTTGCAGAAGATACATCTGATGGTTCAGATAATGTCCTTACAGTCTCTGATGGACGTTTTAATGATGAATGGATTCTTGATTCGAATTGTTCCTATCATATGTGCCCTAATAGGGATTGGTTTACCACCTATGAGTCAGTCAATGGTGGTTTAGTCTTGATGGGAAATAATGTTGCTTGCAAGACTGTTGGAAAAGGTACTATCGAATTAAGACACATGATGGGGTTGTGAGGACTTTGACAGATGTACGACATATTCCAGAATTAAAGAAGAATTTGATTTCCTTGGGTACTTTAGATTCCATTGGTTGCAGGTTTTCTACTGAAGGTGGAGTTATGAAAGTCTGCAGAGGTTCCCTGATTGTGATGAAAGGTAAAAAGATTAATAGTCTCTATGTTCTTCATGGTGATACTGTGATTGGTGCAGTTGGTGTGTCATCTTCAAAAATTTCAGATTCAGATATTACCCAGTTATGGTATATGCGTTTGGGTCACATGAGCGAGAGGGGCATGGAAGTCTTGTGTAAACAGGGTTTGTTTGGCAAACAAGAAATTGGGAAACTTGATTTTTGTGAGCATTGTGTCTTTAGGAAACAGTGCAGAGTCAAGTTCAGTACAGCTATTCACAGGACTAAAGGTACAGTTGATTATATTCATTCAGACCTTTGGGGTCCTTCTCAGGTTCCATCTAAGGGTGGTACTCGGTTCCTTTTGACCTTTATTGATGATTATTCAAGAAAGGTTTAGGTATATTTTCTAAAACGCAAGAGTGATGTTTTTGGGACTTTCAAGCAATGAAAAACTTTGATTAAAAAACAGACAAGCAAGAAAGTCAAGCATCTCAGAACAGATAATGGTTTGGAATTTTGTGGAGGTGAATTTAATGAGTTTTGCAAAGATGAAGGCATTGTTAGGCATCGTACTGTCCGATCTACTCCACAGCAAAATGGGGTTGCAGAGAGGATGAACAGAACTCTTTTGGAGAGAACACGTTGTATGCTCTCCAATGCAGGATTGTATAAAGACTTTTGGGCTGAGGCTGTCAGCACTGCTTGTTATTTGGTTAATCGTTCTCCATCCACTGCTATTGAGTTGAAGACTCCATATGAGGTATGGTCTGGTACTCCTGTTGATTATTCTGATTTAAAAATATTTGGTTGCACTGCTTATTGTCATGTGAATGATGGTAAACTTGAGCCTAGGGCTAAGAAGTGCATATTTATTGGTTATGCTAATGGTGTGAAAGGATATAGATTGTGGTATTCTGATCCTAAATCACCTAAGTTTATAGTCAGTAGGGATGTTGTATTTGATGAATCTTTCATGTTTCATCCGAGAAAAGAGTTTGTAGTTTCTACAAGGAAATAACAGGATTATAGCAAGGAGGTGGAGCTACAGGTAGAAGCTTCACAGAATGTACTTGAAAGTACTCCAATTCAATCTATTTCAGATTTGTCTGCTTCTAGTTCAGGTGATGATCCACAGGAGCAACAGGAGTATAGTATTGCAACAAGCAGGGAGAGGAGGCAAATTAGACCCCCTCAAAAATATGGATATGCAGACTTGGTGGCTTATGCACTGACTATAGCAGAAGAGTTTGGTGTTCAGGAGCCTTCTACATATTTAGAAGCTGTCACAGGTAAAGAGTCTGCACATTGGGTTGTTGCTATGGCTGAGGAAATTGAATATCTTCATAAGAACCAGACTTGGGAATTAATGAAGTTGCCTAAAGGCATGAAGACTTTTGGCTGCAAATGGGTCTTCAAGAAAAAGGAGGGAATCCCAGGGGTTAAATCTGCAAGGTACAAGGCACGGTTAGTTGCAAAGGGCTACAGTCAGAGAGAGGGTGTGGACTTCAATGAAGTTTTCTCACTAGTGGTAAAACATAGCTCTATTCATGTATTGCTTGTCATGGTTGCTTCACTCAATCTTGAGCTTGAGCAACTTGATGTAAAGATAACTTTTCTACATGGTGAGCTAGAGGAAACTATCTACATACATCAACCAGAGGGATTTATTGTTCAAGGTAAAGAAGATCATGTTTTTGCTTGTTGAAGAAATCATTATATGGTTTGAAACAGTCTCCAAGGCAGTGGTACAAACGTTTTGACACCTTTATGGTAGATCATGGTTACTCTAGAAGTAATTATGATAATTGTGTGTATCACAGACAATTGTCAAATGGTTCTTTGATATATTTATTGTTTTATGTGGATGACATGCTTATTGCTGCTAAGAGCATGTTAGAGATTGACAAGTTAAAGAAACAGTTGAGTTCAAAATTTGAGATGAAAGATTTGGGTGCTGCAAAAAAAATTTTGGGTATGGAGATTCACAGGGATAGAAGAGCAGGTATGTTATATTTATCTCAAAAGAAATATATTAAGAAAGTTATTGAGCGGTTTGAGATATAGAATTCGAAGCCCCTGAGTACTCCACTTGCCGCTCACTTTAGGCTTTCAGCAGCTTTATCACCACAGAGTGAGAATGATGAGCAATTTATGTCTCGTGTTCCTTATTCTAGTGCAGTTGGAAATATCATATATGCTATGGTTTGCACTCATCCAGATATTTCACAGGCAATTAGTGTGGTTAGCCGTTACATGGCTAATCTTGGGAAGGTTCATTGACAGGCTGTGAAATGGATACTTCGTTATTTGAGAGGCACTACAGATGTTGACTTAGTATTTGGTAGAAGATATGACATCGATTCTACAGTTGTTGATTTTGTTGATTCAGATTATGCGGGTGATCTAGATAAAAGGAGATCTCTGACAGGTTATGTTTTTACTTTATTTGGGTGCACTGTAAGTTGGAGGGCGATCCTACAGTTTACAGTTGCTTTGTCTACCACAGAGGCAGAATACATGGTAGTATCAGAGACAGTTAAATAAGCAATTTGGTTAAGAGGTTTGGTCTGTGATTTGACCAAAAATCAGATGTATCGTGAAAGGACCAAGCACATTAATGTTAGGTATCACTTCCTTCGTGAAGTTATGGCTCAAGGTATTGTCACAGTGAAAAAGGTTACTACAGCGGTGAACCCAGCAGATATGTTTACTAAGCCGGTACCAGTGTTCAAGTTCAAGCATTGCTTGGACTTGATTGGTGTCTGCACTATTTGAGTGTATCCTTTGGGGTATTTGACGAAAGCAACGATCAAGTTCACATTGGTTGGATGGATAGATGGAATACAAGTCAAGGTGGAGATTTGTTGTGATGACTTGTAGTCAAGTCAATTGTTTTTTATATGGACTCTAATTGAAGACATGAGTTTTCATTGGAGTCCTTGATAGACAAGTTTGTCCTTAATTAGGATTATCTTGGTTTTATTATTTTAGTGGAGTTTAGTCCAACATGGACTTTTGTTATTTAAACTCAAAGCCTTCAAGAAGTCTTTGATTTTTTGTCCTACACGTGAGACCTCCTCAGCATAAAGACTTTGTGAAGGAATCAAATTCCTTAATCCAGAAGCTAGATAAAAAGGACGTCTTCTCCAGTGAGTTAGTGGTTAGCCATTGACAACGGTACAAGAGTTTTTTTTGTGTGTGATAAATTGATATTACTCTATTTTGTTAAATCCAATAAATATTTTATTATTGGAATAGAGCAGATATCTAGTTTTCTCTTTGATTTGTTCTGAGAACGTTGTAATCTCCAACCTTTCAATAGTGAAATTTTGACGTTGTGTTTCGTTCGTGGATGTAGGCTTGCTTGTTGAGTCGAACCACGTAAATCTTTGTGTTCTATTTTTCTATTTCGCTGCGTTATTATTTGCTTGTGGTTTTGTTTATAACAACTTTCAATGCTCTAATTCTAACCATTCTTATTTACAGTCATTGTTCTCATTATTTATGGCAGTGACTTAGCTAGTATTGCCCATTTTAAGAACTATTTGGGAAGACAGTTCTACACAAAAAATTTAGGCCTTCTTCGGTACTTTCTTGGCATTGGAATAGCCTAATCGAAGGAAAGTATTAGTTTGTGTCAATAGAAGTATATTTTAGATTTACTCTCTGAAATAGGTACCCTTAGTGCATGCCCAGTAAATATCCCAATGGATCCAATTGGTAAGTTTATTTGTCTCACAGTTACACATCATGACATTACTTATGTTATTGGTGTTGTTAATCAGTTTATGCATACTCCTCGTAAACCTTATTGGAAAACTACCTGCCGTATTTTTCAGTATTTGAAAGGCACACCCAGTAGAGGATTGTTATATCAACTGTCATCCTCCTTAATTGTTACTGAATTTTTTAATGCTGACTTGGACAATAGTCATGCTGATAGACAATCTAATTCTAATTATTATTGGAGGTAGTCTTGTTACATGGGGCAGTAAGAAACAAAATGTGGTGACATGTTCTATTGTGGTGGCATGTTCTATTATGGAGGCTGGATATCGTGTCTTGACTTATCTCGTACGTGAGATGTTGTGGGTTCGCTTTCTACTTCGTGAGATGGGTGTTGATGTGTCGTCTACTATGCAGATGCATTGTGACAACCAGACCACCATTTTTATTGCCACTAAAATCTAGTATTTCATGAGCATGACAAACACTTCGAAGTTGATTGTTATTTTATTCAGAATCTCACGTGAAAGGACATTATCACCCCTTATGTAAAGCCTCATGAGTCATGATCACCTTGGTGATATCCTTACTAAATCATTGACACAGTCCACCTTTAGTAAACTTTGCTTCAAGTTAGGCATTTTTTATCTTTATGCTTTAGCTTGAAGGGGAGTGTTAAAGATTTACTTTCCTATTATGTCGTTTTCCTACTATGTTCTACTTTCCTTATATTGTAACTGCCTTTTATATCAATCTAATATAAATAGGTGATAGGTGGTTGATAAAACACATTATTTTCTCAATCTCTTTCTCTCTTTCTTTCTTTTTCTTTCTCCTAAACCTATACCCTAATACTTGATTATTTGAGTTTCAACTTTATCACAGCAGTAAATACTGAATTCTTCAAATTGCCTCGCTACCTTGAGTTTCAGAATAGAACCTGATTGAGAACTATCTTTTCTAGCAGGGGCCTAAAGACTGAAATGAAACAGATTGTGTCCTACACCAACACTCTGGCATATCTGAGATTATATATATACCTACCTGCTGCACATGACCCCAATACCAGGCCCTTCAGATGTTGAGGAGCTCTGGTTATTTTCACCAGTATCCAACCTAGTGCTGAGCCAATGATAAATGTTAGGAGGACATTGAAGGGCATATACCACCTGCATAATCCATAACAAGTCAAACCATGAACGAGCCCAAAGAATGGGAAAAAAACTCAGAATTGGAGATGAGTCAAAGCATACAGCTCAAAAACAATCATTAAGGTGAATTAAACTCACAACAATTTGATGCTTTCAAGAGTAACTGTATTAGCCAGGTTGCTACCCACGAGTGCCGGATTGAACACAAAAAATACAACCTAACTACATAGAACAAATAATGGAGTTATAGCATCCAGTTTTAGGGAAATGAATAATTTCTTCCCCATGGTAGGCTGTATTAGTAAAAGACTAAAGACCCCTGATGACATCAAGAACCAAAATGCAAAAAATAAGAGCATACTCTATTCAGTTGCTTCTTTGCATTCTCCCCAAGACATCTATATGGTCTCTAAAGCAAGAAACGAGCCAAGTGCGGTAATCAAGAGTACTTTTAAAACAGGCATGGAAGCAACACAAAATAAATCTAAGAGCCCCATTTTCAAGCTGCTCGCCGAATTTCAAAAATATTCAACTCCTGCATCAAACAAATAAAATTTTAATTTACCAGGAAAAAAAAAATTCAAGCTAAGGCCTTGATCAATCAGTGTTTGTAAGCCCAACAGGACAAGCAAAAAATCTAATAATGCAAGTTTAGTATGCAACACCAATATGTGTGTGTGTGTGTTTTCCTTTCCAAGTAAATTCTCCTGCTTTAGGTTATCTGACAACGGCAATGAAAAAATGTATACATTACCTTGATAAAGCAGTGGACTATCAAATTAAGCAGAGAAAAAGATAACGTTGAAAGAGAACTCTAATAAACACGAGACAAAGGCAGCATGAACATTAATGGATGATAAGGTTTGAATTGGATGAAGAAATACTCACATGTATGAAGGACTTGCAGACACTACATGTCCCCAAAAGGGCAGACTAATCTAGAAAATTAATCAAAGCTGTGATCGCAATGGAAGAGGTTGATTGTCAATACTTTCGTAGCATATGCACTTAGATAAAGCGAATAAAACAGAAAAAAATATACAAATAAGAAGTAATTATTATTTGGGTGATGTCACCATTCAAAAATCATGATTGAAACAAAACTTGAAGCAATCACTAATAAGCTCCTCCCCTCACTTATGGTCTCTATTACTGTGTTTAAAAACTTAAATAGCTTGAGACTCAAATGCAGAGCACCTTATCTCTCTCTCTCTCCTCTCTCTCTCTCCTCTCTCTTGCTGTATATATATATATAAAGACATCCAGAACTTAGACAACTATTTAAGATAGCCCTATAATATCTTATCAAGCTTCCATGGATCGTCAGGCATTTACATAAAAGCGAAAACCACCTTACCATGTCATAAAAGAAGGCAGATGGTCATTAAATACTATTGAAGATCAAATCCCATCTTTGAAGATCAAATCCATCATTGGTGGGATCAATAAATTTTCACATTCTTCTTTATGCAAATCCCTATATAGGATGTGATTTTCATATATCTCAATCTCAATTATTATGGGATTTGATTGCAGCTTCACCCTATGCATATATAGGGTATAGCTCATATGTGCTGTACACCAAGTACCAATAAGAAAA